GAAAAAAAAATTCACTAAAAGGTGACATTGAAGTTTGAATGTGGGTACTTTTTCGTGAATGCTTTTCTAAAATTGTGATGTAGCTACTATACCAAGCAAACTGAACAGTAATAAATTTTCGATTTCCTATTCCCTAAAAAGTTACTTCTTTTCGCTGCATGCTTGCAACATAAGAAATACTGAGTGACAAACGGGATTTTTTTCTTTACGCAACTTTGTATAGCAGGTTAATTGCAAAGTACGTGAAAGCAAACTAATTGCACTCTGAAAATCTCATGAACACTTCAAAAAAGTGTTTTAAAGCCAACTAAATTTGAAAACCAAAAGCATTTTGAAGACCAACTACATTTGAAACCGTGTGAGTGATGAATAAGTATCGAATCTGTCAACATCAGTTTGACAGCAATTCTGGTGGATTCTTCGGCATTACCATATTATGATGTACTTCGTCAATTTGTGCAAAATTATCAAAACTATGCTTGTCAGTAATATTTCTAGATATTGGTATGATGTTTACAAATATCGCTCTGTCAGTTTGTCGCGGATCGCACACGAACTATTCATAATATGAATAATTTCAGGTGAAATGTCTTTAAAAAGCAGTTTTTGTGGTATTATTTTGATGGCATTTTTAGTCAATTTGATCATATCTACACCATCAACGTATGCAGTGAGACTATTTCGCAGAGGCCCTACCATAAACTTCTTTGAAGCTCTCCAGGCTCTTCGAAAAACATACCCAGGTATGCTATTTGTCTGCGGATATCATTATCATTATCACCGAACGGGAAGAAATTTTTGATAATTTCCGCTCGGCGCGGCTCTCAAAAATACCGAATCATTTCAGAGGCTTGATTCTCGAGAACGGTCACACCAGAAAATTATAATCCGCGCCGAACTTCATATTATTCATTACTATTTCCTTATAGTTTGGTCTGTATTCTTACGGCAAATTATTTGCACTGACATTGCTACAAGATATCAGAAAATCTCTCGAAACATTTCAGAAGCACGTATTCCAATAAATTTTCAAGGCAAACGAAAAGATCTGAAATGGACGGATTACTCGCTGACGATTTGATGATATAATTCGAATGGATGACGGCGTTGATTAAAACCCCATAATACTTTATCTATAAGGAGTATAAATTAATGACGTGTACGAATTTATTGCAGTCATTTCATGCAGTCAATTCTGCCGTTATGTATAATGAACAGCGGTTGACTGCAGTCTCCGATAACAATATCACAATTCTTGATGTGTCTTTTAACATCATAAACTGCTTACTTGAAATCGTTGAACCAATATTGCCGCATTGGCTCGTGAGGAGTACGAAACACCAACTATGTGAAGCAAAAAGTCATACTGAACGATTCGCAAAGTATTCTGTCGTCGATGACTTTCATAACCTACCAGCATTCTGAGACTATGTACATAACACTGTCAAATGTGAGGTTCGGCATTTGAATGGATTAACTGCGGGAGAACACATGAATAAGTGTACATGAGAGATCTACACAGCACAAAATATAATTTTAATACATTACATATTATTACTATTTTGTCATTGCAGACCATAGTGTTTCCGTTAATCATAATGTATCACGCATTTATTGGACAATTCTAGTGAAAAGTCTGAATACTTGTGAATTTTGGAATCGAGATTTTGCTTTCTGCTGTGAAATGTCGCCAATTGCGATAACACGCTTTTATATAATGTCATGGGCCACATGCGGAGAAATGCCTGAATGATCCTTGAATTGGGCATTATCACTCAAACAACTTCACCTCATGCAAACCAAGCGTTCCCGACAACCATAGAGTAACGGATCGATACTTCAGCTTACAAAGATAGGAACACGTCTATATTAAATGCAGGATCCATTTTTCGAAAGGGTAAATGAATACCGATCACACAAACAAGTAACATCTCGCTCCGTCCATTTTCAACTACTGTCAACGTTTCCTGCAGAGGCCAAATTTTTGTCGTAAATGCTTATTTCATCAGACTTCTTTCGTTCTAAACTTCAGTAAATTCAGACGACTCGAACATAGCATTCTTCATCCGGTTGACATTCAGTGCTGCATTTCAATGAGAAATAATTTATTCAGTGTTTCACATTGGATGAGAAATTACGTTTCGTGGAATGCACAGAGAAAGATATTGACGTTGAATATGAATGTGAACTGGAGCATGTGAAAAAAGTGCATTGGATGCATCTATTTTAGCACTGCCGTAAGACTGCTTATGAATTCGAATTGAATTCTTGTGAATAGCATTCAGCAGATCTCGCTGAACAGCTAAATTCAATTTATGGATTTCGAATCCAGTCAACACTAGGGTTTGCAAAATCCCGACGTTTTTTAAACCCCGGGATCGGGATTCAATCCCGGGATTAATTTTTGATCCCGGAGTAATCCCGGGATCGAACAATTTTTGTAATATTGATGCGGGACATGTTCAAACACATTTTTTTCGAACCAATATGTTCATTATCAATCAGAAAGAAGTTAATTCAACAAATTATTGAACAAATTCGAGGAACCAAATTATTTAAATTCAAATTAATATTTCATACGATCATGCTAATGATCATGCCGCAAGGTCATACTGCATTTTTTATGCTAAGCCATCTTGTATCTCGGATCTGAGCTAACAATAGTACACTTGCATGTGAATATGAAATTCTTGATTCTCAAACACTTATTTGCAGTGCTTCAAATCCATTTTCTCGCAGTATTAACGTCAGGTGAATTTTGCCATTTCGGAAATTTCGATTTTTTACAAAAGAAATGTATCGCATAAATTATATCATTTGAATTTTGAAAAGTTCAGAGTTTATCTAAAAAGTGAAAAAAAAGTGCGCAATGGATTTTCATCGAACCATCGAGCACTTATATGCTTGATAATTTCGATCAGAGATCATGGAAATGTATTTGATAGTCAAGCTTAAGATCCTTTTGAATGGAACAATTTACCTCACTTCGACAGTGAATTCTCACTATGAGTTAACTCAGCGAGAATTAATGTACATTTCGATCGGATG